CATCAATCACAGTCTGCTGTCGCTTACTCATATTATTTCAAAACCTTAAGATTTCAACGAGATTCCGGTAAACAAAATACGACTTTACCTTTATACGATTACTAATATCTTAATATTGTATACCTATATATGTTTTATTTTCGCGTACGTTTTCGCGCGAACGATTTTTAGAAAATTAAGAATTACTTCTCATACTCGTCGAAATTATATTATACAGCTTTTATCGTTTTATGCGAAAAAGTATCATCTGGACGTTGTTGTAGAAACGGATAGAGTAGGTAAATAATTATATTTCAAACAAAACATTCAAGGTGAAAGAAATAGTTTTAATAATAAACAAAAAGTTTATAATTACTCTAAAGAATTTCTACTCTTAAGTTCAAGACGAATACTTTTCATCATCAATCATAGTCTGCTGTCGCTTACTCATATTATTTCAAAACCTTAAGATTTCAACGAGATTCCGGTAAACAAAATACGACTTTACCTTTATACGATTACTAATATCTTATTATTGTATACCTATATATATAATAAGAGAATTGCAATAAAACATTTTAATTAATTTTTTGTCAAGTCCGAGGAAATATTTTTAGAAGAAGCATAAATATTTGTATATTGTACAATAGAATCGAAAACTTGGTCATCCAAAAATAATTCAAAAAGTTCAAATGGCGCAAGTGAGCCATATTTTATTTCACTGTTTTCATCTGGACCCCAAAGCTCTGTTATTTTAGGAGTCTCTAAATCTCCTTCACGCCAAATTTGAGATGAATCTTTTTGACTTTTTTTCTTGCCCACTACAATGCGATTTTTTTTTGTAGTCCCAACTTTTTTTTTTCTGATTCGTGATTGTCGATGTTGAGAGTTTCTTTCGGTAAAATAACATTAGCTTTCAATTCACTAGCAGATAAATGGTTTATATCACCTGTATGTTAATCGTTATCGGAGTCTTCATCAGTAATATTTTAATCCAAAGGTTCTAAGAAAATAGTATCTTCACTCAGCTCATTTGACTCCAGCAAATTTATAATATCATTCACGCAAAGAGATCTAAAAAAAATATACATATGAGACTACAGAATATCCCAGTGACCTACATGTAGGACACTAATATTTAAACGCAAATAAATGAAAAAGTATGTGGAATAAATTTATTTAATTTATAAAAATATAAAATGTAAATATTAATACATATGATTGTATGTATGTGTTTTATGTATAAAAAAAAAATCTAAAATATAATTCACTTACTTTGATGATGAAGCCTTTTTTCTATTTGAACAAGCCGATGTACAAAATGGTACTAACGTTCGACTTTACAACGCAAAATAATATCATCAGGTCGATAATTATATTATCTAACAGTCTAAATCGATAAAATGGGGAAAATTCTAAAAATAAAACCGATAACAATAATTATTTCCGGTGTCCTACATATAGGCCACTGGGTGTAAATGGGTAATTAAATGGTGTATTCAAGAAGACCAGGTAGCTTGCGCGTTTCTACGAAAATCTTGTAAATTGTACTATATAGTGCATTTATCGTTTCATGCGAAAAAACATCGTCTTGTCGTTGCTATAGAAAATAATAGAATAGGTAAATAATATTTCAAACAAAACATTCAAGGTAAAAGAAATATTTTTATAATCAACAAAAAGATTTTAATTATTATAAACAATTTTAACTCGAAAGTTCCAGAGGTTTTCGATTTTTAAAAGTAATCAAGTTGTCGTTTACTCTTATTACTTAAATACGATTTTTTTGTACGCGACGTGGACGACGAACTAATCGATTTTGTAAAATTATTGTTCTCTAGTACGCTGATAACTAGAAGTCCACTTGTAACTTCCGAGAAAAGTAATACGACTTCATACTGACTGATATGGCAACTAAAGTTATATGCAACGTAGCGGCGGCCGCTGTTGGAACTGCAGGATTATGTTTCGTAGCGTATTCTGCGTACTATATCCACTACAAACGCCCAAATGAAAGGAAATTAAACGACCAACCAAGTGAAGAAGAAGGCGTTGCAGTTGAAGAACGCAATTTAAAAACCATTAGACTACTAAGCGATAGACTAAAATCAATAACATCGAAATTAATTTCAGGTTTTACTCGACAGGGTCGAATAACTGACGGAGAAAGCGGTGGAACGGTGGTAGAATACAATTGGACAAATGTCCAATCGCTTTACGAACGCGTTAAATTACTTTTACCGTGTTCACTATCCGGTTTTAGTATTAAACGAGAAGAAAATAATGGAGAAGTCGAACCTATAACAATTGAAGAACTCGATGGAACAACGGAGGAAGATCGTGATTTGGAAAGCGACCGGTTATTAAATAGAAGAATGAGGCAAAAAGTAATAAGTATAGTCTCAGGAATATTTTGATCACACTGAGTTGGATCCATTCACCTAACATCTTGACCGTTTAATTTTGAACGAGTCAAGAGCATTTTTAGTTTTTTATTGATTCATCCCGTTGTACTCAATAATTTAGCTTTAAAACTTTCCAAGATACAGGCCTTTTTCTTTGAGGATACTGGGGTAATAATTGCACCTTCTTTCTATATTTATAATAAATTATATCAATTTTTCCATATAATTGAATAACTTAATTTAAAAATTAATTTCTTTACTACTGTTCAATATTGAAAGTATAAAGCATTATTTTTCAAGTTACAATAGTGACAACAAATAAAACAATAATTAAAATTCACGCGTCATACACTTTTTCCATCATAAGTTTAAAAATATATGATTTAAAAAAAAACCTTTTGAACCCTAATTGTAGAACAAAATATTGTCTTTAAAAAAGGTATTTATACAATTTATCGTAAATCTATTATTTTTTATAAAAATCGAAAAAAAAAATATTTTATCATTCCAATAAAATTATTTCAATCGTATTAATAAAATAAAAAATGAAAAAAAAAAAATAATTATTGTAATATATATTAAAATTTTGCTGTCGTTGCATATTTTGTGTACGTTGGATATCTTTTTCTGTATTTTTGAATAATCTGTAACAAAAAGCATACAAAACGGAGCTTCACTCACGTTTGTAGCAGTAGACAATGGTTTAATATAATTTTTAATTATGAACGTACAAATTCGTCCGAGTGCAATTTCTTTCGCTTTAGTAACTTTGAACTCTTACCTTAATAAAAAATATCTTTAAGCAATAAATGCCTTTTGCCGTCCACTTAACTTGATAATATGCACCGGGTTGACGTATTTTTATTCCTCCGGGCTCTGTTGTTAACATGTCTAAAGCGATCATATGTGCTATGTCGAATAAATTGTCTACATTTTGCTCAAATTCCTTCACTTTAGTTTTATACATTTCAGATTCACGACCTTTCCATTGATTATATATACTTTTTAATTTCTTCACGCAATCTACTTTGTACTACGTTGTTACAAAGATGTGCTTTTTTTCAAAAAATTATCCGCGAAGCTTTGCCAAACCTTATCGAATGTTCTTTCACGTTCGATAAAGCCATGTCCACACTATACAACGAATTTTAGCGTATCATTGTAGCTTGGCAAATTGGCTGTAGCGCACGCAACTCCCCTATCATACCATTTTCAGTTTAGATAATCTGATAATGTGTAGTAATACAAAAATAAGGCGGGAGATGCCTAGTTATGTAAATTGATTCAAACGTATAAATTAATTATAAATTTGATTACCTTTCTTCTCCAAGCGGCAAATTGATCTATTGAATTTGATATAGGTGACCGTAGTAAATAAAAAGATTTTTAATATAACAACTGTTTCTTTNATAATGACAGCAAATTCTGAGAAATAGTCTAGAGAAATTACTACTGTAGTAATTCAAGAATAAGGCGGGAAGTGCCTAGTTATGTAAAATCGATTTACATGTATAAATTAATTATAAATTTGATTACCTTTCTTCTGCAAGCGGCAAATTGATCTATTGAATTTGATGAAGGTGACCGTAGTAAATAAAAAGATTTTTAATATAACAACTGTTTCTTTTTTTATTAATTTTTTTTTAAAATATAAAACACTGTTCTAGGTTCCCGTGCTTTTGTAAAAATCTCTGCGTAGTCTTTTACACTCGCTTGTGATCATCTGTCCAAAAGCAACGGGAACAATACATACACTGTGTGTGATTAGAAGTGTCCGGCCTCCTTATAACTGGAGATCTGTGTGTGTGTGCGTGTGTAAATGTATTATCTTAATTTGGTTAATACTAACAACTTAATCTAATAATTAATGGCTACAAATTAATATAAATATTTTGCAATATTGACTATATAATTTATTTTAATGATATCTTAAGTATTATCTCCTTACGATGAGTAAATATCGCACTAAAATATATGTTATTTGATAAGAAAAAAGAATGGCGTCGTATGTAAATGTTTAACTATAATTTCCGTTGTTAATTGTTTGACCTATAATATTTTGTTTTACATAATGTATGATAGCTTACATAGCATATCATTACAATACAATTATTTATGAGCTTATGAATACTATATATTAAAAAACTCATTCATGCTTATAATTAGTTCTCATTTACATACTATAGAATATAGCACTTAGATAAACATGTAGATAATTTATGAAAATACCTCGAACAATTTAATTTAAATCAGATAACAAAATAAAAAAAGAGGAAGAATGGTTGTGTTTTTATCAATGTCCAGCTATCATCTTTTTGATGCTGAATAAGTATACATTTTCTGACATAAATGTAATTGTTATGGAGATTACCTACATGTTTTCAACTTTGTACATTAAAGAATATATGAGTGTTTTTAAAATAAATATAAAAGAAAATGTTTCATAAGAAAATATTTAGTTTGTTGAAATGGATTGCCCAGAGCTGTATATCAATGCGAATAGCTTGCAACGAATTGATGCTAAGGATGTTTTGGAGAGATGGATAGGAAAAATGATATGGAAATCTAATGAAATAGTTTTAGACTTAGGATGTGGACCAGGCGATGTCACCTCGGATATTCTTTATCCTTTTCTAAAAAATAAAATAGAACTGTTGGTTGGTTCTAAGTTATGTATACTAATTTGTGAACAATTATTTTTACATTAATATTTTATTTCAGGTAGCTGTTGATAAATCAAAACAAATGGTGGAATTCGCTAAAAGAAACTATGGGTGTTCCAAAATTAATTTCAAAGTTCTGGATATTGAAAATGTTAATGATTGTACATTTAATTCTTGTGGATTCAATAAAATATTTTCATTTTACTGTTTACACTGGATTCAGAATAAACTAGATGCTCTTGTTAATATGCACTTAATGTTGAAGAACAGTGGAGAAATTTTGGTTTACTTTTTATTAGTTAACCCAGTGGTTGAGTTGTATAAATGTATGGATGAAGAATGGAAAAAATATGTTCCAGTGAGTATTTTATGTATTAATTAAATTTAAAAAATTCAATACCTACTTCAGTCAATCAGCTTAAATTTAAAAAATTATTTTGTATATATATTCTATTAATATTAAATTTAAAATATAATTAAGCCTTAATTATGAAATATGAATTATAGTATTTATTTTTACTATGATGTATGATTTTTTTTTGTGTTTGACAACTTTTTTTTCACAAATCTTTCCAATTGAAAAACGATAAGTCCGTTATCGAGATATTGACGAAAAATATTACTCCCCGTGTCCGTAATAGTCTTCCATTATAGATAGATCGAAATACATTAGAATGCCTACCCTTTTGCAGGGATCTTATTATTTTGTTGTCCGTTAAGATAGGTTTCACTATACTCAGAAATAGACAAATTTACGACATTAAAAGTTTTAATATTTTTTCTTATTTTTACATTTTGTTGTTTTTCTACCAGAAATCTTAATTTTTTTTTTTTTTAATTTTACTTGCAGTTTTCTTAATAAATGAGAGAGAAAAACTGAGAAAGTACATTAAATTTAATGATTTTGGTTTTTTTATTTTAATTCAGTTAATCTACTATTAGATGAACAATTAGTAAAGATTTGGAATTTTGACAGAATAATAATATTATCCTTTTCGAGAGGACATAATATTTTAGTGATTTTTGTGTTATTTAAAAACATTTAAAATTTTCGAGTTTTACTTGGTTTTATGAGGATAAAATTATTTTGCCAGACCAGAAATATTTAACATTTTTACTTGAGGTGTATTATAGGTTGTATTTAGTATAAAAAAAAAAATGAGTTTAATGTAATAGTTTTTTTTAAAAAAATACATGTAAGCATTTTAAGTTTAAATTCTGATGATAAATAAAACATTTTGGAGAAAAAAATTACAATTGTTTAGAAATCTGTATTAAATATGTAATATTCTTTTCATTAGCATAATTTTAGTTGTTCGAAAATAATACGCATCTCTTCAGTTATAATAAATGCTACTATTAATATCACACAATTTTAAAATTGATAGGTATAACATTATTTTTGGATTTACTGCGGTTCAAAAAAAAACTGACCTATTATTTAAAAGTTTAGTAACATAATGACTATAAATGACTACGACTATATTCCTTATTATACCAATGAGTTTCTATTTGATCATATTTATTTAATAATAATTACCTTAACATTTAAAATATGTATATATATACATACATACATGCATAAAATATCTCAAATAAATGTAACATGGTTGCACATGAGCTAAAAATATCTAATTCATTATTCAACTTAATATTTGTTTAGGATATCATTCAGAAGGCCCAAACTATCTATTCAGAAGAAGAAGTTAAATTGTTGTTCATCAAAGCTGGTTTTAAAGTAATCAGTATAGAATCAAGCATTAAAAAACATACATATCCAGATTTCACATCATTTCTGAGTAATTAAAACCTTAATATGTATTATAAAAACTATTAATTTTATGAAGATATTCTCGGTAAACACATTTTCAATAAGTAAAATTGGTCCTATTTATTAAATTCGTGCATTAACCCTAGATAACATGCTCAATAAATGTTAATAAGATATTATTTAAAACAAAAGAAAAAAATGATTTATTTTAAATAATTATATAATTATTAATATGATTTACTTAAACATATATCCTATAATCTAGTCTAGTGGTTCTCAACATTTTTTGTATGACGTCAGCCTAATGTAGATCCATAAAAATGAAAACATGCTTAAAACTAATAATGAAATTGAAATGGTAAACACAACGCTCTCAAATCATAACACGGTAAACAACTGAGGACATACTTATTATTTTGATACCTACATGTTATGCCGATTTCCTAGTTTTTCTTTTCTGTGAGTTTTCCATACCATAATGTCATATATATATACTGGTTAAGAACAACTGATCTAATCCAATTAATAATTATTAAATTATTTGTTATGGTTATATTTTAAAATTAATTGAGTAGAAATACTTTTTCTTGTAAGTGAAATTAGATATGCAATTTATTTCACTACTGGTATAGAATGCGTGAATTCATTTTTAAAATGTAATTTATCTTTTCATAATCATTTATCATCAGCATCAATAAATTAATATGATTCATTGTTATTCACAAGGCCATAAAAAAGAAAGAAAAAATCTGTTTCAGTGTTTCATTTAAATTATTTAAAATTGCTAACCCTGATGTAAGATGCTTTTTTTTTTTAATAAAATGTATAAATATAAATTGTAAAATATATTATATTGCATACTCTTAAAGTGTTAAGTCACGCTTTAAATAAAATAAAATAAAATGAAAGCTCAGAACTCAATTTCTACCTTTTTATAATTTATTTATTTATAATAACAGGCTTGTGTTCATGTTATCGTATTCACAGAAAATTACAAGTTTTGCATAAAATATATATTTATTTCAAAGAAGAGAAAACTATTGGTTTAAGGATATAAAAACAAAAGAAGAAAGGGTTGATATTGGCGTATTAGGCATAAGGTGGATAATTGGTTTATTGAGTTTGTAATTAGTAGAGCGGAAAGGAGGTTGAATATTTCTAGTTAAATAGGATATTATGAGAAGAAATTTATTATAAACTAAGTTGGTAAGAAAGTAAAAAGTAAAGTAAGAATGGACAATAAATGCCGAGAGAAGTTTCTATTAAAAGCTAATATTGGTAGAAATTCTGTATTTAAATAAGTTTACTAAATTAATTTTACTGAGGACGAATTTGTAGACATGCAGTGGGTACTCATGAAGTATTCAACCACTAATTATATTAATAAATATTATTTTCATATACTTAGAATTAAATAAAATACTACATACTTATTTTCATTTATATGTTTTGTTATTAGTTAAAAATAAAAAAATATATAGCTAACTTTTTTTATTAATAATTAATATTTTGTGTGTGTTTACTAGATGCTATCAAACCAGTAGATGATATGTACAATATTTTGTCACCACATTTGCATGACAGGTATTCTATTCATGTTAAGGATAAAATTTATGAGAAGCAATTGGTTGATATATGTCCAACTACTGGAAAAGCAACACATTCATACATTCCTATTACTGTGCATGCTGTAAAAAATTAAAATATTATTAAACAGAAGAATACTACAATTAAATCACAACCAGCTGATCAAAGATTTAGGTTCTAATACAGCATCTGAAAATCCAACCAGTTAACTTCAATGAAAATGGTGCAGTGTTTTATTTATTTAATTTAATTTAGTCTCAATATGCTTCTAATGTGAGGCTTTTTCTTTCATGTTTCCTGTCACTTTTAATTACTTATTGTACATATTATATGGATGGTAATCTCTTATAATAAAGAATGCTGAAATTAATAGTTTTTATTTTAAAAAATGGGTAGGCTGACTTAATTCCAAATCAAACTATAAGGGAGCGTTATTATTGTTACTAAGTTTCTAAAGATTTTCAATTCAATAAATATAAACTATAAATATAATCTTAAATTTTTGCTGTAGTAGTAAAATTATGTTTTTAATATGTATATTTTGTGTTTTAATAAAAACTGAACTATTTAAGTTAAATAAATAAATAAAAGTCATTAAATAATACATTTTTTTTGTTTAAAATGTTGGATTTATAAAAAAAATTAATAAATTGTGTAGTTATATGGTGAAATTTTTCTTCACTTGAGCCAAGAAATAAAAATGTTTACAATGTTATATGAATAATGCAATTATCATAAATATTAAATTGAAAACAAGTGATACTTAAAAAAAATTAATGTTACAGTTTAATATCATTACAATTTATTACAGTAGGCTGAAAAAGTACAAACTATATATATTACTAGCATTTTAATTCTGAGCTCCTTACTATTGTTTTTAAATAAGGTAATTACCAAGTCCAAATTTTAAAATGAAAACACTAACTCTTAGTACATAAACAAAGCAAAATTTTTAATTTGTATAGTAAATACATACTGGTATGATAACCTAAATTTAATTTTAGAAACATCTGCTACATCATATGTAAAATCTTTATTATATATCATATTATTTATTTAATTATACATTTATAATTTTTTACCTTTGTATCTATATCTTGCTTATGTAAATCTAAAATATGTATGATGAGCAGTAGTGAATAATAACAGGGAGAGGGGTAGGACCAAATAAATGTTATTTTTCATAAACTTATTATTGAATCCTAATGTTGACTTTTTTTTCACTGATCACATCTTGTCTAAAGCTTTATGAAAAAAAGTTTTAATTTCGTTTCCAGTGTCAGAAAATAGCATACCAACCACTGATAATAGGTACTACTATTTTGAAACGCCTATTATGAACTTATTACAAGTCAACAACAAATAAAATAATACAACTTTATTTTAAATTTAAGAACTAGAACTCTTTCTTTCATGAGACGGAGTATAGCTGTTCTCTCAATTTAGTGAATACAGTAAAAACACATTTCAAATTAATATATATTAATTAGTTAATTCATTTTAATTACATGGTCACTTTATATGCTGCTGTTATTAATGTATGTCGTACATTCATGTTACTAGGGGTGGACTGGAATCCAATCGACCCACAATTCTGAAAAAAAAAAAAAAAATATTGTCAGACCTAACATAAAGCATAACCAACACCCAGTGTACAAAAACATTTACCTCTTCATTTTTGAGTTTTTGAATTGACTTAAAGGCTATCCTTGTTAAAGAATTTATAGTAGATCTGAGCAAACCTAAAATTTATCTAAGGTACCACCCCATACATAAATTCTATATGTATTATATTCACTATGCAATAGCATAGAAAACCATTTTCATATTTTTAGGTGATAAAGTATTATTTAATGCTTTAAATTTACTCAACATACTTCTTATTTTTTACAAATGATCACCGATTATATATATGGGTATATGGCACCCATATACTTTACAGTTTCTTTACCTCATACTTGTATAATTACAATTACAAGTATCTATCTGATGTATATCTTGTCATGTATTATAATTGGTTCATTAGTATCAAGACATTTAACTTTTGATATAGAAAAAGGGATATAACAAGTTTTATTAAAAATTATTTCCAGAAAGTAGTTTGAATTAACCAATATTAATTGGAAACATAATTTTTGTTGTTTTATGTATTGAATTAGATTTATTTATATCATGGATGAGGATCGTAGTATCATCAGTAATATAAAAAAATAGAGCATTCAAGATCTAAATCAAGAAGGTCATTTATGTATACAATAAACAAGAATGGTCTTAAAACTGTACCCTTCGGAACACCATAATTTAAATTATATATATTACTTAATACATTATTTACATGAACTTGCTGTCTACAATTTTCAAAAAAAAATTTTAATTAAATTATTTGAGACTCCTCGAATGCCATATTTAATAATATTTTATTGGCAACGGAATCAAATACTTTTTTAACATAAAGGAATATGCCAAGTGTTGAGTAACGCTTATTCTAATTTATTGTGTATACAGCTGACAAGTTTGTAAAGCAATTGATGTACCTTTATTTTATCTTAAACCAAATTGACTTATAGAAAAATAATATTTCTCAAGGAAATTATATAAAAGTGTTTTTAAACATTACTCTAGAACTTTTGCTAACGTACAAGTTAAGGAGATAGGATGATAGTTTGAACAATGTTTTTTATCATCTTGTTTAAATAAATTTGGGAAAATTCCTAAAGAAAGTGACAAATTAAAAATGTACTCTAATGGAACTAAAATATATAAAAAATTTCTTATGGTAAACTTCGAGACCGATAAACACAAATTAAATTTAGAGTAGTATCATTATACACAATACTAAGATTCCAAGAACTAC